TTTTGAACGGTTCTTACTCTATTCGAAAAAGATTTTTCTGCTTACTTGAAGAAAATGGTCAGTTTAGCTGTAAAATGTTCCAAATTTTAGATTTGTCTTTTTGGCTTATATTCAACACAGTGATTCTCAACCTCTTTCTCCTTCATGATTTTTGTTGTTGTTGTTTTTTTCTCTTGTAAGGGAACATTTAGCAATGACTGGAGACATTTTTGGTTGTCACAACCTGAAGGAGTGTTGCTACTGCCATTTAGTGAGTATAGGCCGGGGTTGCTGCTTAACATCCTGAATTACACAAGACAACCCCCAGCAACAAAGAATTACCTGATCTAAAATTTTAATAGTGCTTTTACGTTGCAGAACGTTGATTTATCTTGTTCCTATATTTGCCTTACTACTAATTTCTGTTTGCTGAAAGTTATTTACAGTTCTAAAAGTCCTGTCAGATTATTGTTTATTGCGAGGGTGGGGGACAAGATTTCTTTATAGGAGATGCTGTGTATTTTATGTTGCAAAAATTGGGAGTATATTAGATTTGATTGTCTACTTTTAGTAAATTAAACAATGGGTTCAGGTTGTTAATGGCCTGATCCTTAAATGCCGATTTTAAAGTCAGCTTTCCCAGAACATTGTGAAAGTTCAACCCCTTATTATTCCAGCATCGAATTTCCTAGTGGAAAGTATATTGAACTAGTTAATTGGATAACTGGTCTTTTGGCGCTAGATATTTAAAAATCTGCTATTTAAATAAAGGTCCTTGTGTTTGTTTTTTTTGTCTGTAACATTGAATTGAACCTGGTGATTTCTAAGCCTCTTGCATTTTGATGGTTCTTTATGCATAAACATCATTTTATAAAAGATCCAGCTGGTCAAAACAACACATTCAAACCACTTTAAATATAACTTTTCAAAAAGGTCAATTGTAATTTTGATAGTTTTTTGCTCCCTTGAGAATATATTTAGTAAGGACATTTCTTTGTCTTCTCTCTTCATGGAAGTTATTTATATATTTCATTTAAATAAAATATTTTCAAATACTTAAAAAAATTTTTTTGTTTTTACATTTTATTCATTTTTTTTGAAATGGAGTCTCGCTCTGTCACCCAGGTTGGAGTGCAGTGGCTCGATATTGGCTCACTGCAACCTCCGCCTCCCAGGTTCAATTGATTCTCTTGCCTCAGCCTTCTGAGTAGCTGGGATTACAGGTGCGCACCAGCATGCCTGACTAATTTTTGTATTTTAAGTAGAGACAGGATTTCACCATGTTGGCCAGGCTGGTCTTGAACTCCCAACCTCAGGTGATCCACCCGCCTCAGTCTCCCAAAGTGCTGGGATTACAGGCATGAGCCACTGCACCTGACTCAAATACTTACTTGAATTTCTTATTTGGACCATTTTTAATGTTTGTTTTGTACCAAAAGTTGGTTGTGATTCAAAATGTTTTTTTTTTTTCTGTAGAATAATATAATAAAAATGAGGTCAGTTTCAGAGGGAAAATTCATTTTAGTTTTTAATCTGAACTGTCTCAGCTGGGGACTTGATATGATAGAGACATGTATGCCCAAAATTTAATAAAGGAATACTTACTTTTGTATGTTTACAATATTACATCTCTTTATGTCAGTCTTTCTTCACTTGTCTTGTAACACAAGCCTTTTCCAGTTGGAAAGAGAGGAACTGGCATTAAAGTAGGAAATTCTTTTTCCTCCCTGTACTTTTATACCTTTTTCTTTCTCATTACCTTATGCACTTTCTACCCTGTATTATGGTTCATTTTTACACACACACATTAAAGAAATAAGTTCCTATATAGCAAGGCTGGTATCACACTTTTCTGTATCTCCCATAGTATTAAACAGTATTTTTTACACATTGAATGTTTGCAATAAATGTGTGTGTGTAATAAATCAATGAAGTTAGCATTTACACCACCTGCTACCTAATGTAAGATTCTGTGTCTCCTCTAAGATCTATAAAAGTATACCTTTAGATGTATTTATTGTGATTACCCCCTCCCTCTTTCTCCAGATACACTAGAGCCTTTTAGAATCTGAAAAGGAAGAATCCCAAAATCATCCGGTAAATTTCACCTTCATTACAGATTCTTATTTATTCAGTAGTCACTTGAGTCCTGACAGTGAGTTAGGCACACTCTGGTTGCTGGGTGTACATGACTAAACCAAAAAAAGTATTTGTTTTTAGAGAGCTTAGAAAGACTCTCTATATAATATTCGTGTGTGATAAATCTGTGAAAAAAATTAGAATCGATACATGGCTGAGAGAGAGAGACTTGGTTAGGTCACACAGGTAGCAGCTAAAGCAATTCTGGTACCTAGGCCTTCAGATCTTAGTAGTGTCCTTGAAATAGCTCCTTCTTCATTAATCATAAATGAGTGATGCAGAGGAAATAATAAATATCCATTCCTGTTCTTTTCTATCATCTTCATAACCCTTCCTCTCTATAAGAATTTCATAGTCATTTGAGTTTACCGTTTTTTAAATTACCAAATTTTGCATATAATAAGAATAGTGGGCCTAAGAATAACATAAGAACTTTTGTGGAGAAGTTTAAAGTCAGTAAGAAAGTAAATGTTTCTGTATTTAGTATGTCTCATTAAGGGATGGAAATGCAATTTTCTTAGTAAATTTTCACCAGGCTAGTTATGATACACTGCGGCAAAGGGGACTTTGTGTAAGACAGTCACTTCTGATTGAAATTTGATACCTTCTATTTTCCAACTTCTAACCTGTCTTTTCCTGCAGTAAAACCCTGTGTTTCTGTCATACAGAAATTTTATACTTGCCAGACCATATACCTTCTTTCTCTCCTCTTATACAAATTATTTATTTTGGTCAAAATTATTTATATTATTCTTTATGCATGCAATGTCTCCTTTGAACATCTTTAGCACCTCTGATCTCTACCTTTGATTTATCAGTTAACCATATACTGCTCTTTGAGGTTTTTACTTTCTAAAATATTAGTTTAAAACATTGCGTTATGGTATTTCATGTGTTCATTTTACCTATTTGTTTTCATAAATTTATTTTGTCTATTTTCTTTTGTCTTCTCATTAAATTGAAATAATTGTAAATATTTTAACAAATTTCAGAGATTAGAAAATTTCATTAGGAAACAGCCTTTTCTTTAGAAAGACTCATCTTCTGGACTTTGGTTTGACAATAGGAAAACATATTTTTACTGCTATAATTTTGAATTATATTTACTTGCTTACTATGCACAAAAATTCACTTCCTAAAATATAGTACTTTAGTCAGCCTTTAAGATTCTTGCTTTCTCATACTTTTGCTACCTTTAAAATTATCCAGGCCTGGTGGTACATGTTTATTTGTGTATAAAATATTTGAAATCTCAAATGTTATTTTATGTTACTACTTTAGTTTAATGTAACTTTGGAGAGAAACTTATATTATTTCTTCCCAGATTTAACATTTAATATTAAATGTTTTAATTAGAGCGGTATTCCTGGTTACTTGATAGTTGCCTTTTCAAGATGGAACAGTATTGTTTCTGAGGTTATGATCATTGAGGATTTATTCCTTGAGTTGTCTTTTTTATTATTGACCTTTGGGATACTAGGCATGAGCATGAGTGTATTCCAGTCTGTTAGATAATTTTACATCTATTTTAGTTATTGCAGTGTTAGTAGTACCTTAGATTTGTGAAATAAATTAACTCTGATCATATTAAATAGCTATATTTCATATCATAATTATCAATTTTTATCAGTAAGAAGAAAAGAATATGTTTTAGTACCTGATTATAAGTAACACTATGATACCGGATAGCAAAATAAAACTTTACCCCTGTCTTAGGAGTTTGTTATTTTATAATTCTTTAGTTTTCTTATAATTGAATCTGCTATACTTATATCAGTGTTTCTTAACATAGTAAATAGACCCTTAAAAGTCCCAGAGACCATTTCAAGGTGTCCATGAGGTCAAAACTATTTTTATCATAATACTGAAACGTTACTTGACTTTTTTACTATGTTGACATTTACAATGATGGTACAAAAACAGTGGTGAGTAAAACTTCTGGACCTGGAGGCCATGGAACCAAACTGTGCTAATATGATTGTATTCTTCACTGCCACATGCTTGAAGTTAAAATAAAATGAAATGCTAGTTTAACTTTAAGAATGTCCTTGATGAAGTGATAAAATTACTAATTTTATGAAAGCTCCGCTTTTGAATGCATGTTCTTTCAATATTAGTGTGTGTAACAAAAGCACTTCTGCTGCATACAAAACGTATGGTGTTGTATGGAGGAAAAATAACAATGCTATTTTTTTTAGATGTGAGGCAAGTTAGCCTTTTTTCCCCAATGAAATGTCATTTTTACTGTAAAGTACAACTGAAAAATTACAGTTATCAAACCTGGATATTTGGCAAATACTCCTAAAAGTGTTTTAAGTGAGTCTGTCACTTTAAGGAAGACAACAATACTTATTGCCAATGATAAAGTTAAGCTTTCGAGCACAAATTAGAATTTTGGAACTTGTTTGCCTAGGCTTGACAGCTTTCCAGTACTTAAGGACTTTTTTGATGAAATCAGTGGTGATATTAATGGATGTGATTTTTGTTTTTGATATTGGATATTTGATACTTAATACTTCGTTAGGTCCTGAAAGCAAAACATTTAAAAATTGCTGATTTAGTTAGTTTTCACTACATAAGCATTATACTCATAACCCTACATATACCTAATAACCAAATTAAAATAGAAAAGAATATTAGTAAGGAAAATTAGACTTCATATGAATAATAAAGTTTTGAATTCTTCAACAAGTATAATTGCCTTTAGTTAAGCAACAGGCTTATCTATGTTATGTTGAACTTTTTAGGGCTGCATTGTATTTACCATTGATAATTATGTTAACATATTTTTTCCCTCCCCTGCTTTCTTTTTATTTTTTTCCTCTCTTTTCCTTTCGCTGTTCATTTCTCCCTTCTTCCCTCTTTTTGCATTTGTTTTATAGGTGGAGTCTTTCATTTTGGATCAGGATGATCTGGAAAATCCAATGCTGGAAACAGCTTCCAAGTTGCTCTTATCAGGTACTGCTGATGGTGCAGACCTCAGGACAGTAGATCCAGAAACACAGGCTAGACTGGAAGCTTTACTAGAAGCTGCAGGTATGTACTATACATAGTAACAAGATCACCTTAAAGTTTGCACATCAATGTAATAAAAGCTCTTGTTGTTACAAGTGAATGATACTGGGTATTTAGAATGATAGTATTCATTAAGGTTAATTGATTAGTTTCTAGAGAATTACTGGAACATTTTACTAAAGCATATTATAATTTTCATTACCAGAATAAAATCCACATGGTATAGTTGACCTTATAGATAGAGATTTTTTTTTTCATTTGAGTTTGATTATTTGTCAATTCTGTATTTGTGAATTTGCCTACTTGTAAAAATGCATTTTAACTTCAAAATCAGTGCTAGCAGTTCTTCATAGGCATGTATAAAGCAGTGAAAAATTTGAATCACCTTACGTGCATGCTCCCAGCAGAAGTTGAACAAAGTGATGCTCTACATTGTTGTTTCAGCTCTCCTAATATAAATAAGTGTCCTTTTGAAGCCTATTTAATGCCAAGTTTTTCACATTTTTATGATATTTTTGTTGGTGTTAATTTAATTTTTTATTTTTGTGGGTACATAGTAGGTGTAAGTATTTATGGGATATGTGAGATATTTTGATACAGGCATACAATGCATAATAATCACATCAGGGTAAAAGGGCTATCCATAACCTCAAGCATATATCCTTTGTGTTACAAACAACCCAATTACATTCTTATAGTTATTTTTAAATGTACAATTAAATTATTTTTGACAATAGCCACCTTGTGCTAGCACATACTAGGTCTTATTTATTTTTCTAACCATTTTTTTTTTTTGTAGTCATTAACCATCCCCACTTCCCTGCCCCCAATGCCCCAACTACCCTCCCCAGCCTCTGGTAATCATCCTTCTACTCTCTATCTTGGCTATTGTGAATAGTGCTGCAATTAACATGGGAATGCAGATACCTCTTCAATATACTGATTTCTTTATTTTGGGTATACACTTAGGAATGGGATTGTTGCATCATATGGTAGCTCTATTTTTAGATTTGGGAGGGACCTCAAACGGTTCTCCATATTGGTTGTATTAATTTACATTCTCACCAATAGTGTATGAGGGTTCCCTTTTCTCCACATCCTCTCCACCATTTGTCATTGCCTGTCTTTTGGATAAAAATAATTTTAACTGTTGTGAAATGATAGTTCATTGTAGTTTTGATTTGCATTTTTCTGATGATCAAAGATGTTGATACCTTTTCATATGTTTCTTTGCCATTTATATGTCTTTTGAGAAATGTCAGTTCAAATCTTTTGCCCATTTTTGGATCAGATTATTAGATTTTTTTTCCTATTGTTTGAGCTCCTTATATATTCTGGTTATTAATTCATAGTCAGTTGAGTAGTTTCCAAATATTTTCATCTGTTCTTTGTTAATTGTTTCCTTTGCTGTACAGAAGCTTTTTAACTTGATGTGATCCCACTTGTCCATATTTGCCTTGGGAGCCCTTGCTTTTATGGGCTTATTCAAGAAATCTTTTCCTAGTCTAATGTCCTGGAAAGTTTCCCCAATGTTTTCTTTTAGTAGTTTCATCATAGAGGTCTTATGTTTAAGTCTTGAATCCATTTTGATTCTATTTTTGTATATGATGAGAGATTGGGGATCTAGTTTTATTCTTTTGCATGTGGATATCCAGCTTTTCCAGCACCATTTATTGAAGAGACTGTCTTTTCTCCACTGGATGTTCTTGGGAACTTTGTCAAAAATGAGTTTGCTATAGATGTATGGATTTATTTCTGGGTTTTCTATTATATTCTAGTGGTCTATATGTGTACTTTTATCCCACAAGCATGCCATTTTGATGACTGTAACTGTAGTATAATTTGAAATCTGGTAATGTGCTTCTTTCTAGTCTTGTTCTTTTTGCTCAGGATACCTTTGGCTGTTCTGGATCTTTTGAGGTTCCATGAAAATTTCAGGATTGTGATACGGCTTGGCTTTGTGTCCCCACCCAAATCTCACCTTGAATTGTAATCCCCATTATCCCCTTGTGTCAAGGGAGGAGTCCAGTGGGAGGTTAGATTATGGGGACAGTTTCCCCCATGCTGTTCTTGTAATAGTGAATGAGTTCTCATGAGATCTAATGGTTTGATAAGGAGCTCTTCCTCCTTCACTCCTCACAGTTCTCTCTCCTGCTGCCATATTTACAAGGTTCTTGAATCCTCTTTGCCTACTGCCATGATTGTAAGTTTCCTTAAGCCTCCCCAGCCATGTGGAACTGTGAGTCAATTAAACATCTATTCTTTATAAATTAACCAGTCTTTGAGTATTTATTTATAGCAGTGTGAAAACAAACTAATATAGATTGCTTTTTCTATTTCTGTGTAGAATGTCATTAGTATTTTGATAGGAATTGTACTGAATCTGTAGGTTGCTTTGGCTAGTATGTACATTTTAATGATATTGATGCTTCCAACCCATGAACATGGAATATTTTTCCATTTTTTGTGTGTTCTCTTCAATTTTTGTATCAGTGTTTTATAGTTTCCGTTGTAGAGATATTTCACTTCTTTGATTAAGTTAATTCCTAGGTATTTTATTTGTAGCTATTGAAAATGGCATTACATTCTTGATTTGTTTTTCAGATTGCTGGTTCTTGGAATATAGACATGGTACTGAATTTTGTATGTTGATTTGTTTCCTGCAATTTTACTGAATTTATCAGTTTTAATAGTTTTTTTTGGTGAAACCTTTAGGTTTTTCCAAATATAAGATTATATTATCTGCAAGTTAGGATAATTTGAGTTCTTCCTTTCTAATCTGTTTGTCTGTCATTTCTTTCTCTTGTCTGATTGCTCTGGCTAGGACTTCCAGTACTTTGTTGAATAGAAGTAGTGAAGCTGGGCATCCTTATCTTGTTCCAGTTCTCAGGGGGAATGCTTTCAACTTTTTTCCATTCTGTATAATGTTAGCTGTTGGTTTGTCATAGACAGCTTTTATTACCTTGAGATATGTCCCTTCTATGCCAGTTTTACTAAAGGTTTTAATCATAAAGGGATGCTGGATTTTATCAAATGCTTTTTCTGCATCATTGAGATGATTATATGATTGTTTTTAATTCCCTTTATGTAATATATCACATTTATTGACTTGCAGGTTTTAAACCGTCCCTGCATTCCTGGTATGAAACTTTCTTGATCAAGGTATATTATCTTTTTGCTATGCTGTTGGATTCTGTTAACTAGTATTTTCTTAAGGATTTTTGCATCTATGTTCATCAGGGATATTGGTCTGTAGTATTCTTTTTCTTTTCTTTTTTCCTTAGGGATATTGGTCTGTAGTTTTTCTTTCATTCATTCATTCATTCTTTCATTCGTTTGATATTAGAGTGATACTGGCTTCATAGAATGATTTAGGGAGGATTCCCATTTGCCCCCTGGGTTCTGCTGAAGAAAGTTTGTGCCCAGATGAAATTATTACAGAATTCATTTGGAAGCTTTTTTCACCCTATGACCCCTCCCTAATTCTGCTGGCTGCCTTCCCTGAGGTCACCTATCAGATGCAGTCAGGGATGGCATCCCTGGGCTCAAGCTGGAGACTGGGAGTGCCTACAAGACTCTTCCTACTGCTGCTTCTACCTTTATATGTTATGTAGCTCCCTATATTCATTTTAGTTATAGGTGAGGTTAAATCCTTCTCTTGTGATCTGGATTTTCAGATTCCTGGACATGTGTGTTTGGAGACAGGTTTTTCCCCCCTTTCATACTTTGGGAATTCACAGTTTTTTTATTGTTTCGTGGAATTTGCAGCAGTGTGCCACTTCTTTCAAATAATCTGTGAATTATTTTGGTTTTTTTGTTAACATTCCTGCCACGTTTCTTAGAACCAGAGTTTGTGGTGTGAGTCTCCACATGCTATTCTGCCCATCCAAGTGGGACCTGCACATTATCCCTGTATCCTCTCTGCCATCTTTCTAAGTCCATTTTTTTGTTGATTTTCTGGGTGAAAGATCTGTCTAATGCTGAAAGTGGAATGTTAAAGTCTACAGCTATTTTTATCTTGGGGATCTGTCTTTCCCTTTAGCTCTAGTATTTACTTTATATAGCTGCTTAGTGCTCCAATGTTGGGTGCATATATATTTAAAATTGTTATATACTTTTGCTTAGTGGACCCCTTTTTGATTATATAATGATCTTCTTTGTCTTTTGTATTTTTGTGTTGAAATCTATTTTGTGTAATGTTAAGTATAGCTTTTTTTGCTCTTTTTTGGTTTCCAGTGGCATGGAATATTTTTTTCAATCACTTTATTTTCACTCTGTGTGTATCTTAATAGGTAAAGTATGTTTCTTGTAGGCAACAAGTCATTGGATCTTATTTTTTATCCATTCAGCGTCTGTATGTTTTTTGATTACAGTCCTTTAAGTCCATTATGTTCAATGTTGTTTTTGATAAGTAAGGACTTATTCCTGTCATTTGTTATTTGTTTTCTGGTTGTTTTATAGTGTTATCTTCCTTCTTCTCTTCCTGCCTTTTAATGAAAGTGATTTTCTCTGGTGGTATGTTTTAATTTCTTCGTTTTTATTTTTTTGTATCCATTGTATGTTTTTTGATTTGAGGTTACCCTGAGGCTTGCAAATACTGTCTTATAACTCATTATTTTAAGCTGATAACAACCTGACACTGCTTCCATAAACAAATTTAACAAGCTAAAAGAAAACCAATGACTCTACCTTAAGTTTATCCCCCTGCTTTTTAACTTTTCTTGTGCTGCATATGTCTTGAAAAGTTGTCATAGTTATTATTTTAGATTGGTTAATCTTTTAGTGTTTCTAATTAAGATTTGTTAACACACCACAGTTACAGTTTTATAATATTCTGTGTACTTAATATTATCAGTGAGTTTTGTAACCTTCAGATGATTTCTTATTGTTCATTAACATACTTTTCTTTCTGATTGAAGAAATCTCTTTAGTGTTTCTTGTAGGACAGAGGTGGCGATGATGAAATCTTTCAGCTTTTGTTTGTCTGGGAAAGTTCCTCTTTCTCCTTCATGTTTAAGAGA